TTAGCAACCTTAAGAAATTTTGAAAACTTAAAATATTAAAAAAATTACAGAATTTTTTTTAATAAATAGATGTTAGGAATAATTGAGAGGGATAGATTGTTATTGATAGCGTATTATCTTGTGTTAGTTCTAATTTAAATGCAGATGCTTTTAAAATATTCTGAAAGGCATTGTACTTTAAAAGCATTTCAGTAAACTTTTTTTTAGCGAAATTTGCTTTTCCAACTTTTTGAGAGTGTTATATTTTATTTAAAGCTTATTGATAAGTGCCTTGAGCAATTTTAATACACATATTATTTTTATAGTTTGCTTTAAAAAATTTTTTTCAGTAGCATTTTTCATAATCTAGTTTATTTTATTGAAAACAATATGGACAATTGTGGTTTTAAATGGATTTTTTCCATAAAATTGCCATAATTGTTCTTCTAGAAAGTTCATGTCTATTTTTAGAAAGTTGGTTTAGTTTGGTTGGTTTGGAAACAGGTTTGAGAATACCAAAATTGATATAGATACAATGTTCTTAAAACAAAACGGAGGATTGTTGAAGAACGTTGTCTAAAATACGACGGATTGAAGATATCATTTAAATAAAAAATATCCAAAAATTGCATTTATATTCTAATGGTCATAGACAACTTGAAAATCTATGTGTCTTTAAAAACCACTTACCTCGCTACACTAGCTACACTTCATTTACCAAGACCATGGGCCTTTAGATTTCTGACTATTTCTTTGATTACAAAGTTTCCTTGATGGGTATAAATTCCATTCTTTGATCTGGATAAAATGTCGTAAAGAAAAGTTTATCAACTAAAAATCTGAGAGTTTCTTAAAAAACAGAATTTTCAAGTTACCCAAATGCTACATGGAGAAATAAATTCTTGAAAAATTACTGTGATGTATAATAAAGACATTTCAGGAAAGAATTCCGTAATTCCGGAAACAAAACCAAAATATATGGAATTTATCACATTCATACGGTAACGGTTTATCGGAAATTCTGTTTTTCACAATTATAGTTCTTAATACCAAAAATGTAGTACAAAATTGAAAACTGAAGAAATAAATTCAACCGACTAAAAGCTTTTTATGCTTATGTTCTAAAGTATCATTAAAAATTATACCACATTTTAGCTCACATTATAAAACTGTATTTTATTGTTAATTTGTTAATTTTACCAACAAGCATTGGTAAAATTTAATGAGCATTTTGATATTCCTATAAAGCCATAAACACTGTCAAGTTTTACCAAATTTTGGTAGTGTTGATATTTCTTTTTTTTTCAGTGTAAAAATAAAAGAGGGTATGATTTGGAAAATTCAATTCGGGATAAGACTTGACATATTAGTATACCTTAAGTATGTTCCCCTCTAAAAATAATAAAGCGCAGTAGCTAGTCGATTCCGAGAAAGTGCATTTAAAACTGCAAGCATTCTTTATAAACTAGTTAAATCTTCACATCTTAAATGGTGCAGTAGACTAGTGACAAGGTGTTTGCCTGACGTTTAGAGGACTGTATTTTATTTGGTCATTTTATCATGATATGATGATGATTTTGTAATTTTATCAAGATATGATGATTTGGTAATTTTATCACGATGAAGCAACCCATAAAAACTATTTATTTGGTTCAATTTAGTTTTCAGGTTTATATTTTTTACTAAATGTGTGGTAATAAGAACTGTAATTTTAAAAACCACAATTTCCGGTAAACAGCTACCATATGAAGGAAAGATTTAGCAAGTGTTTAACGCCGGTTATACAGTAAAATAAAATCCACTATTCTCTTAGATTAGAGACGCATAAATATTGCGTTAGATTTTTTATTTAAGAATTACTTTTTTAAAAATTATTCTATGACAAAACCTAAAAAACTTAATTTGTGTTATCGTTCCAGAAAATGTTTTTAACTCGCCGTAATGACAATGCATCAGAAATTTATCTAAATTATTGCGCTAAAATAATCGAAATAAAATGCTAAGAGAAATGTTGAAAAAGGAAGATTTCTGAACACAATAAATTTAATTTTTTAAGGTACGCAGCCATGCAATTGAAAAAGGATTATTCAAAATTATTTTCAAGGATTATTCAAAAAATTTTAATAGTATTTACTGAACAGAAATAAAATAATATTGTTGTAAATATTGTAAAATAATAAAATAATAATTATAAATTGTTTGAGTTATTTCTTTCACTAAGAAATATATGCTGGAAACAAAACAATAAGGTACGTAGTATTGATTTTTTTTGTATCAAAAGACGATTTTTTTGTGTCAAAAGACGATTTTTTTGTGTCAAAAACAGCTCAACTAAAAAAAATTTAGTTAAATAAAAATTACTTTTCTTAAAATTATTCTATGACAAAACCTCAAAAACGCAATTTGCGTTATCGTTCCAGAAAATGTTTTTAACTCGCCGTAATGACAATGTATCAGAAATTTATCTAAATTATTACGCTAAAATAATCGAAGTAAAATGCTAAGAGAAATATTGAAAAAGGAAGATTTTTTAAGTACAATAAATTCAATTTTTTATGGTGCACTGCCATGCAATTGAAAAAAGGAAAAAGAAACAATTTAAGTGCAAGTCTTTTATGAAACTGTCTTTTTTCAATTGCATTTAATACTATTTTCTGAAGCAGTAAAGTCGTGAATTTCTATTTAAAGTAAAAGCTTAAGAAAACTCTAGAAATAAAATTGCTAATGACGCCAGCTTAAGAAGCATTTTCTTTATTTGCTTACCATAAGTAATGATACTAACGATCTTAAATAAAACCCAAAACCTCTCATTAAATATTTAAATATTTTCAACACTTAACTAAGGTGGCATTAAAAAATAGTTGAGTCAGCATCCATTAACGAGTGTTCTTGTTTTTCTGAAAGGAAAAGAAAAAGCTGCGAAATTTAATATGTTCATTAAATAAATTTCAGCTTAGGTAATTACTTTATCTTTCACCAAGTGACTGTTATTTATTACCCATTTTCGTGAATGCTTGTATTCATTTAAAAAAAATAGAATTTTGTTATTAAAAAATAGCTTAAAAAGCAGTAAAGCATTAAAGAATAATGAAATAACGTTAAGGCATAAAAAAGAAAAATTTCTTTTGAAAATTATTTATTTTTTGCTTCTGTTTTCGTATCTTCACTTAAAAGATTTAATTTAATAAGGATACTTTGTATATTCTTTTAGTTATTAGTTGTTTTAACAGAGAAACACAGCAAAGACATCTGCTTCATTCGATTAAGATTAATAAGAATAATTAATATTATAGTTTTATTGCACATTCTTTGCAATTATGTTTATAGTATTTAAGATCACTCACTACTTAATTCGAAAAAAAATAATATTGAGTTAGTTTTGTGTTGTATTATTCATAATAAATATATGTAGGATATTTGGTCAGAAGTTACAGAAAATTCAAATATTTTACTACTTGGTGTAAAGTAGCCTCCGCCGTTTTTATCATTCAGTAAGACTAACAGTTATGATTAGCGTAAGGTAAGATAGAACATAAGAGTCAGGGAATTTCTTTATATGATAAAACATAAAGTTAAAATCGATAATTTAGAATGCATATAAACACCAATTCTTATAGTTTGTAATTCAAAAATGCACTTAGCTTAGATAAAATATTAAGATGAATTCGAACTAGGATTAACAGAATGGAAGCGGAGAAAAATTATGAATTTTAAAATAATTTAATACCATCCTTAGAGATTTAAAAATTAAAATACAATTATCCTTATTAATGAACTAAAAACATACATATTTAACGGCGATTTTTTGGTTTCTGTTTATGAATATCAGCGTTTGAAAACAACAACTCTTGTTGACTAATTCCAGGTTGTAAACAAATACCCGGCTGAAGACTCCCCGTGTAGTAAATGGTGACTGATGTACGTTAAATCTGTCAAATCCAAAGTCCTCCATGTTCCCATAACAAATCAATGCCTCTGGGGGTACTGATCCAGGAGTTTCCTTGTCTTCTGGATTGGTTCAAAATTACAAGGCTACGTAGTTGAACATTAGTTGTCGTAAACCCCAAAATTGGGTCGGCTGTTCAACGACGGATAAAAAATAAAATAAGATATTAGAATTGGAATTCATTGTATTTTTGATATTCAAGGCACACCAAAATTGGTGTTTTTGGAAGTAAAAAGAATAATCGCGTGGTATGAAAGTGGAAGAGCTTAGTGTAAGAATATTTGATTTTTATGTTAAGATTTAAAATGCATCCTTGAAATCGTTTATGAACACTGGCTTTGGTGTTCGGAATAAAGTGTTCTTTTACTCAATTTTTTGGGTCATTCAACATTACATCCGGAGAAATATTACACCACAGTTTTCTGAGTGTAGACAATTCTTAAAATTTCAGGAACTTGTAAAACACCTGACTGGACTAAATATATGGAACAGTTTATAGTAAAAATATCATTTTTGAAAAGAAAAATGGTATTAATCACAACATTACACCAAGCATTTAAACTTTTTCTAGTAAAAATTATTAACCTTTAAAATTATATTTTAAATGCTGTTCCATTCAGTTCTTTAACACGTTGAAAGCCATGGGGGTCACCGGAGACCGGCGAAGCCAAGATTATTAGAAACAAATAATTCGAGTAAATTTTGAATTTTTTTTAAATATTATTACCGTTACTAAAATGGTTTGAAGAAATGAATGCAATATTGAACACACAAAAATAGTTTTATTTATATACACGGAGATGCCAACTTGCTGCGGGCAGCGAATAAATATTTTCAAGTGGTAGTTTATTAATCGTGGTTTAATAAATTATATTTAGTAGATTTTAATCCATTACTATTTCTAAACAATTCGTAGGCTTACATATAATTCACCACTTTTTTCAGATATGTCATGCTAAACCTTTTAAAAAAACTAGCAAAATCTGTCTAATATTTGCAAATTTAGTTTGTAGTTATTTACCGTTTTGCCAGGCGGGCAAGCCATGTAAAATTATCAAGCCATTCAACGTGTTAATTAGTTTTGATAGTATGTTCACTTTCTCTATTACAGGTAAGGTTGTTTTTCAAGACCCTCTTCATCGACCTCGTGTTTACGAAGGAGCACCTCCAGGAATTCATGTAACAACCGTACATGCATATGACTCAGGCAGGAAGGCAGTAACTTACAATCTGCTAGATGTCAGAGAATACACGTTCTTCAGTGTTGATTCTTTGACTGGCAATATATCCACGGCGAAGACAATCAATAAAAGAATTGGCGATACTTACGAAGTAAGTAGGTGCACTTTTTCGAATTTGAATAATTTCACGTTGAGTTATCATTACTTTTTTGAAAACAATCATTAATATAAATCTTATTTTTTATTTATAAAGATACATGAATACAAGTACTTAATTTTTCCAAATTCGAGTGTGAGGATTTCAAATCTGAAATTAGTTTAAAAAGCAACGAATTTTTTTAATGATAGTCTATTTTTTAAAGAAATTTAAAAGTTTAAAAACGTTATATATAAACGGGGGTCGCATATATGTTGCGACAAATTTATAGGGACGTTAGGGCTTATCTGGATTCAAATTGCACAGAATCCCAAGCCTAGAAATGTCATCCGATGCAGCTATTTCTATAATATAAATTGTTTATTCGTGTACTTCTGAATAAGGCAGTCAGGCTACCTAAGCCGGGGTACCATCTCCTCTGCAGAGCATCAAAATTGTGATGCCATGTCTTCGGATCATCTTTAAGGATGATCCAAACCGTCGCGAATAGCCCATTGTTCAGCTTTAGTGCGATGTAAATAAAAAAATAACTGCAACTTTTGAATATGTCATAATAAGGAAGTGCCTCCAACCACGCAAAATAACATTTCCTGCATGGATTTCTATGCAATTTTAATCCTGATGATGTTCCCTAACATCTTTGCTACTCCCTGTTATATATAAACGCTTTTAAACTCGTACATTTCGTCAAAAAAGGGGCTAAAATGTCATTCAAAGAGGAAAAATTCGTAGCTTTGAAAGAGAAAATGATTGCAGATTTGAAATCTGATACTTGAAAATATCCAAAATCCGCAAGCAAAATAATGCAGCAGGATAAAAAAATTCTCAGTGTAATCTGTTAGTTTTAAGTCCTTAATTAGTACTTTAGATTGCCTATGCAAGGTGCCTCAAATTTATGTTGCCAAAAAGAATGAGAGAAGAAGTCCCACAAAAATAAATATAACGCAATTTCTGCGAAGCTCACATTTACAAGAAATTATACTAGAGAAGACGCTCGATTTTTTTTTTGTAAAGCTGTTGTGGCAGTAGATGATTTGTTTGCTAAAGTGTACTACTCCCTGAAACTCCGGTATAATACATGTCTGCTGGCGATTGGTAAATGCTTTGAACATAAGTCCTAAATTAGTTTCATGTGTGGAAATGTGTGCTCGCAAACACTTCCTAGATTCGCTTGGAAAGGTTGCAAATAATACTTAACAAATAAGGACAAAAAACAAAAATGGCCCCACATCATTTAACACACTTTCCATAAAGCATACATTTACAACAAAGTACGCTCGAAGTTTTTGTAATGATGTTGTGCCAGTAGAGGATTTGTTTGCTAAAGTGTACTATTCTCTAAAAAGCTGTTATAACGCGTGTATCCAGGCTATGAGTCAAAGCTTTGAACATTGAACATAAATTAGCTTCATGCGTATTTTCAAACGCTTCGTATATCCGCTTCAAGAGGTTACAAATTATACGTAACATATAAGGGTACATATAACGCAACCAACCGATATCTCCATTTCTCTTATTTCCCCTGTTTGAGGCCTTACCGCGTTATATGAAATTATCACCTGATAAACTAGTATCACCTGAAAATATCATTACACTTATGACATCTGAAAATATCACCACACTTACACTATATGAAGTTATTGTCAGAAATTCTAGTGACATCTGAAGATATCACTACACTTTTACCATCTTTAGATATTACCACACTTAAACTATTTGTATATATCACCACACTTATACCATATGAAGTTATCACCAGACTTATATCATTTGAAGCTATCACCAGACTTATGCCACTTGAAGATATTACAAAATTTATACCATTTGGAGATATCATCACATTTGTAACATTTGTATACAGCATTACACTTGTACCATTTGCATATAGCACCGCACACATACAGTTTCCATTTATGATAACTTTCATATCACTTGCACAAATCTCAATACAGTCTTAATAATTTTTTTATTTATAGATCATTGTTGTAGCAATCAGCCAAGGGGAAACAAAATTGCGCCAACTGCAAATCGCTGTTTCAGAATACAATATCCATCCTCCTGTCTTTGAACATGACGTTTACAGAGGTGAAATGCACATACGTTCCAAAGTTGGTTCTACAGTTCTAAAGGTGAAAGCAAAAGACGAAGATATGGTTTCTTATAACGCAAAGGTTCTGTACAAACTGGATTTTCCATATGATTCACGTGGCCGTTTCACTATTGATCCAGCAACTGGTGTATTGTCTTTGGTAAGAGCGTTGGACATCGAAACTTCTGAGCCGGTCATAGATTTAGGAGTAACAGCTGTTGATGGTGGATCACCCGTAAGAACAGATTATGCCAAGATTGAGATACTTGTAAAGACAATATCAGGTACATACTAAAAATTTACTCACAATGAACTAAACATTTATCTAAAGGTTTATTGACAAAAATATGATTATCTGAAAAAGATTTTAGATAATCAAAGTTACTAAACCTATGGGTATAACTTTGGATAAAACTGTATAATTCGGTAAGTATTAACCTACTTGGAAATATATAAAATTATAGCTAGCTAATCATTTTGTTTGATAAAAATATGATTATCTGAATCAAAATTATAGACAATCAAAGTTATTAAACCTATGGGTATAACGTTGAATAAAATTGTATAATTCGGTATGTATTAACCTTCCTGGAAATATATAAAATTATAGCTAGCTAATCATTCTGTTTATCGTGTAAAATTGTTCATTTAATTTTATGAAATTGATGAGCCGAAGTTTTTTTAAAGGATGATACTGGCTAATATTTATGCAAGTAAGCCAGTTTGTTTCCTCTTAATTTTGATAAATTTAATCACGATGAAGCTATTAAGATCAATATCGATACAAATTAACCGTTGATAAATGCTTGTTTAATAAAGCTAACTCGCTCATGCTCAACATGTAGAAGAAAAGTACGGTAGTAGTTCAGTAGATTATTTACGTCAAACTAGAGCTTCATGTTGGGCTATTGGTGACGGCCTGGGAAACACCTTTGATGTTGATCCAACAACAAGCCATCAGAATTTTAATTCTCGGAAGAGGGGAGGGCTCTCCCACTTTGGTGGCCAGATGACCTGCGTTCGAAGTCGCTCCCTTTACGGCAAAACAGTTTAATGAGCAAACCACAACCAGTGATGCTTGACTTTGGTATTCTACTGGGAACCTTGTCCGTACAATCATTCCATTGCTGGATAGAAGAAAAGTACAGAAAACTACCATGTTTAGTTCAACGGGGATAGAATTATCAGATTTCATATTCATATTTTACTGCTGTGGTCAGCGACGATTTAGAGCGTAATGCAAATAAATCAATCCATTTCGAAATTTAAGTCTCAGTCATTTGTATCTGATTTATCTTAATTTTAATCATGTTTTATCTCCTTAGAACCTAGAGATGTAAGGTCTGCAAACGCTACGGGATCTACTGTTCAAGTATGCTGGTCACGTCCAGAATTTGGCCAAGTTCTAGGATATATCATTAAATACAGAGAACAAAAAAGTCCACACGGCACCCCAGCCTTTTTGAATATCACATCAGGCGCAACGTCGAAGTGTTCAACTTTGGTGGAGCTTAAACCTTGGACGGATTACGAATTTAGGATATACGGTTGGAATAGATATGAAACTGGTCAAGGAAGTTCAGTCGGTAGCTTTGGAACAAGACCAGACTGTAAGTATCTTTTTATATTGAATTGAACTAAAAATATTAATGCGTGATTTTTAACTATATTCACAGTTGAAGTGAAATATTTACATAGACATATACAATCGTTTACCTAATTAAAGACTACAATAGCAATCGGAAATAGCAATCGACATGTTTTAAGCACCTCAAAAACAGGCCAGCATTTTTAGCGACCCATCGTTTATACTATCATACTATTAAGTTCATACTATCGTTTCGTATCGTTCATATCATATCAAGATATTTCATATCACTTCGTTCATATCGTTAATTTCATATCATTTTACTTCGTTCATATCGATAATTTCATTTCATATCATATCAAATTATGCTATTCATATTATAATTTATAATTTCAGCAAACTTTATATGATGACAAGTTGACGCCTACTATTGCACAAGCTAATTCTTTACTTGATTAGACGACGATATTATGATTATATTTAACATCTTATCAAGGTTGTAGAAAAATAATACAGGAAGGACTGCGGAAGGTTTGCAGAAGGTTGCAGATAGGTTTCATCAGATTTGTTATTCCAATAATAGATCTTTTTAAATAATTTATCAAATAAGTAATAAATTCTGTCTTTTAAATGTTTTTAATCTGTTACAGCTGTTAGAGCAACCAGTAAAGCGGCTGAGCAAATTAATTTCAATCTAAACTGCAATACAATTTGCTTGCTTCATCTCACTACAAAAACAAGATTTCAAGTTTTATAAGTGTCAAACAGATTATAGGTTATAATTATAAATTACGTATTGTTTGGTCGCATTTTCTAAAAACATTCATTTTAAAATTCAAAAAGAAAGTATATATGCGTGTAATATTACTTTTAATCTAATATAAAAATATTTTTTAATTTTCCCCCCCACAGACTGTCAAATGAATATTTGTCAACATGGTGAATGTCATATACTCAATGAAGAACCTGGATACCACTGTGATTGCAAAGAAGGATACTACGGTGAGGTCTGTGAAAAATTGAATCCCTGCATTCTGGAACCGTGTGAGAACTTTGGAAAGTGCTTCAACATTACAAACAACAAGCACCGATGCGAATGTCTCCCCGGATTCTCTGGACAAAACTGCAGTGATTTCAATCCTTGTGCAATCAGGCCATCTCCCTGCCTGAATGGAGGGCGATGCGAAAGTACAGCCAGCCACAAGTACCAATGTTATTGCATGGAAGGATATTACGGAAAAACATGCCAGTTTTATAATCCTTGTTCTGAAGAACCGTGTAAAAACGCAGGGAAGTGTCATAATGAATCACAAGAGGAGTATATTTGCAAATGTGCCTCTGGATTTACTGGTATTAATTTTAAATATTAAGAAGTGTCGAAAAATGCGTAAATTGCAATTTTTTTCCAGAAAAAAACACGCTCATTTATTTGGTTGTTTGATGCAAGCCTTTGTTAAAAACAATTTTATTCAGTTTGATGCTCCTATTGTGTAAAATCTATAAAATTAAGTTTTTCTGATTTAATATTCAGTCAAAAAGCTAGTGAGTATCCCATTTTTAAAAAAATGTTGATAAGAAATTATACATAATATCAGATTCTGTGAGGAGGGGGAAGATAATGCTATTGCATTTGATTATTTCTGAAGTAAAAAATAAATTCTAAATACAAAAAAAAAATTGGGTTTTTTTTGACGGCTTATGCATAATATAAATATTTTTGACCATAACGATTTCAGAAACGTTAAAAGAATGGAAAGGTATCAAATTACTTTACTGTAAATAGCATAATAAAAAAAAACTCCGGTGGTTTTCGGGGTGGTAGCTGGTCCATGGTGGACTACGGGTTAACATTATTCTTCAGGCATTCGACTGTGTTGTTCTGACTAATTTGTTCTCGCCCACTGACGGATTTCCATTTATCTCAAATATTTTGGATTATTCTTCAGGTATTCGACTGTGTTCTGACTAATTTGTTCCCGCCCACTAACGGATTTCCATTTATATTAAATATTTTGGATTATTCTTCAGGTATTTGACTGTGTTGTTCTGACTAATTTGTTCTCGTCCACTGACAGATTTCCACTTATCTCAAATATTTTGGATTATTCTTCAGGTATTCGACTGTGTTGTTCTGACTAATTTGTTCTCGCCCACTGACGGATTTCCATTTATCTCAAATATTTTGGATTAACTAATAGCAAGTGTCGTTTCTTTCTCATAAAGTCATTGTTTCGCTGTTCCACACTGATCACAACTTAGAATCGAAATCTGTTATCTTATAAAATTGCGTGTCTGTAAATACCAACGTTTGTCTGTTAAGCAGCGCGTACACAGACAGGAATCTTATTTTAATATACACGGTCTAGTCGCATTAATGAGATCACCACCTACTTTCTACGTAAATGGTGAAATAACCCATCGATGAAGGCAGATGGCAGCACATTGAAATGAAGTGTTTATAAAAGGAGTCCGAAGGAATCCGGAAACATTGCAATCATTGTTTCAATTCAGAAACGGAACGATTTTTCTGATGTCCAAAAGGGAATAATCATTGTCTTACGGGCCAAGGGTTCAAGCATTTCCAAAACGGCTTATTTTGTGAACTGTCAACGTGCCGCCGTGATAAAAGTGTAGCATGCACGACAAAACGACACTATTTAAAGTCAGCAACGAGGTAAATGTGGTTCGCCACGGACCATAGATGGCCGACTTCAACAGAGACTGCAGAAATACGTTCGGATGAATAAACGTGTAACCATTGAGCATCTGACCCCCCCCAGATGAGCCAAGGGGTTAGGAGCAATGTATACTCATCAAAGGTTCAGTAAACGTTGCCTGCGTATGGACCTTCGCAATAAACGCCTGGTTAATGCACGTATGCTGACTGATGCTCATCAAAGACGAAGACTGAAATTTTTATGCCAGTTAAGCAACTGGACGCCGACTGAGTGGCAACAGGTGAATCACCGATGAATCACGCTTTTTGCTCCAACAGGCAAATGAACATCGGCAAATACGGCGGGAAACGTCTGAAAATAAACACCTTGTAGCAATTGCTGGAAGAGTTCAAGGGGGGATTTTCTGAGTTCACTTATCATTGTGGAAGGCGCAATGGATCAACACGCGTTCGTATCGGTCATTGCGATGTTCAGCCCTGCAACCTACATATGAATTTTTTTCTCAGGATGATAACATCTACGAGCAGGACAATTTGAAGCGTCATACAGCTCATAGTGTTACCATCAGGGTAAGTTTACCGTCCTCTTTTGGCCACCTTACTCCCCAGACTTAAGACTATCGCCTTTCACGTTTCTATGAAAGGTAGTTATTTGACTTTTAATAGGTAGATACGTTAATGTGACCGAACTGAGTAAGTGGAGGTATTTGCTATGAAATTAATCATATGATAAAGTATTGCTTAAACTGATTTATGTTAACATCAGAAATTAAGAAAAAAGTGAAAATCGAAAAAAATATCTTTAAAGTCAAGCAATTACCAAGTTCAAATGAAAATTGTAATAAAAATAGTTTGTTTAGTTAAGTATAACACACATAAAGGTTCCTTAAATTATATATTATTTTATTAAGGTAGAAATTGTGAGGTGGATATAGACGATTGTGAATCATCTCCTTGCAAGCATGGGGGTACTTGTAAGGATGAAATCAATGACTTCTATTGTCATTGTGCACCTGGATACAAAGGAAAACGCTGTAACCTTGTAGGTAAGTATGATCTCTTTAGTTTATATTTCCATCGGTAATAAACAGCTGATTCAAACATCAAAGGCTCAATTCTCAATCTTTAACTCCAAAATATGGTAATGTTAAAATCAACTGAACTTTTAAGAACTAAATTAAATTTTGCTGGCGAAACACGGCAAAAAACCTCCAGTTCAATGATACTTTAATTTATGAGTTTTGTGGTAAAATAATTATCGCAAACTGTTGGAAATTTCGATGGGTAGGGAATTAAAATTTATTTTAAATTTGTTGTAACATTAACTAAGTAAACTAATTAATCTATCTAAATTCTATTAATCTATCTAGATTGTAGATTGTCTATCTGGATTCTAGTAATCTATCAAGATTCTAGTAATCTATCAAAATTGTAGATTGTCTATCTAGATTCTAGTAATCTATCTAGATTGTAGATTGTCTATCTAGATTCTAGTAATCTTTCTAGGCTTTAGATTGTACTAAGTAACCTAGGTTGTAGTTAACAGTTATCACTGTTAACTTAATTAACTAAGTAATAAGTAAGTTAAGCCATATTATTGTACTTCTTTAACTTGATATCACGATACTATGGTTAAACCAAAACTGAAAGATGGGTATAATTTAATTTATTATTAAGGATGCGGCAAATTTGAGGAGCATTATGGTTCAAGATATTTATGTTATAGTTCACTATTGAATCGGCTTTTATAGATAAGAACTCAGTGGGCACATTGTTTTACACAAAATCATAAGTTTCTTTTATAAATTTGAAGTTGCTTTTTAATTAGCAATACATTATTTTTTCATTAGTGAAATTATGATAACAGCTTTATGCTGATAACAGCATTAATTATAATAACAGCTTTTCAGTTCCTTAGCTTAAAATTTTATTTGAAAGTATTCAGAACTTAAAAGCAAATGGAGAGTTAAGAATTATTCGTCTAATTTCTTAAAGAAGACTCAAAAATACATTCAAGCTTAATGCCTTTCCCAAAATATTATCAAAACCTCTTTTCCAGAAACAATATATTTAAATTAAACCTTATTAACTCTAAATAATGAATCTTAAGACGGGATACATAGCTCTTTTAATAAAATGATTCACTGAATAATTAAGTTTAAAACCTGCCCTATCTCTATTTTATAGAACATTGTCCTTCTGACACATTGTACAGCAGTAAAGGTGTATTTCGATGGAATTCTACCTCCCATGGAAGTGCCCAGTTAATCGAATGTCCTTTTGGATCCAGTTATCCTGATCAAGAGTCCTCCACTGGTTACGCCAAGAGGAAATGTTACCTTCTATCGAATGGATCTGTCGTTTGGGGACAAACAAATCTCAGTAGTTGTCGAGAAGAGGTATAATGATACTCTGCTCTTTTAATTCTTAATAATTGAAAAACCAAGTTGAGTTTATTTGGAAGATTTAATATCCTCTAAATACTTAAAATGAATATGTTTAATCTTGTATTTAAATTGACGTTTCAAAACAGTTAATTTCTTATAAAAGTGAATATATTTATAATAGGAAATGAATATATTTATAATAAGAAATGAATTTTTAATAAAAATAAATATATTTCTAAAAAGAAACATGGCAATGCTACCTTCCTCTTTAATTCCTATGAATAGATAAACTATGTTGAAATCGCTTGGAAGATTAAATATATATTTCTCGTTTAAATAATTAACATGAATATCTTTAATCTTGTATATAAAGAATGTTTAGACGCAGTTATTTTTTAATAAAAATGAATACATTTCTAATAAGAATGAATATATTTCGAATAAGAAATGAATTCTAATAAAACTGAATGTATTTCCAATAAAAATCAATATATTTCTAATAAGAAATGAATTTCTAGTAAGAATAAATAAATTTCTAATAATAAATGAATAGTTTTTTTTAGATGCATTTGGTTTTTGAGCCGCCATCTGAGAAATATGTCTCAATTGTTTGGTCAGGAGAACGCTCCAAAGTTTTGACCCGTTAATGCTAACTTTACTCTTTTGTGTATTTCGCCATGTCTCAAAAACTGAATAGAAATTTTCTTTCTTCACACAATTATAAAATCTGCTTGCCCATTCAAAAAATAGTGTTTAATATTTAAAAATAAAATTTATTATTTTTTATTACATTATTTAATAATAGGCGAAAATATTTTGAATTGTAAAGTGTAAAATTTTTTACATCATTTTAAAAATGTATTCTTACGTGGCAAAATACATAATTAGAGCAAGATTAATCGAATATTTCCTGAGAAATTGAATTTTTAAAAAGTCGTAATTTTTTTTTTTGAAATCTTAGATCGTAAGATCTGATTGTTAGAACAAAAGTTATTTAAAGTGGTTCTTTTTCTGCACACTGTACGTTTTTTGAGCATTTCTTTAATTTTGATCGAAGCCATCAATGCAGTTGTTTTTAAACGACAACCAAAATGGACCAGAATAGAATGTTTGAAAAAATATTGAAAACCAGAACAGAACCTAAGTTCATAACAAAAATTTGAATTTCAGGTGTATAAAACTGCTGAAGAGCTCACTGCTGAACTTTTCATTCTAACCGAAGATCCTAGACACCTAAACATCGAACGCCTTCAAGTAGCCACAAAACAAATAGAAGGAGTCTTTGAATATGCTTTGCATGATAAAAGGGTAATGATTTAAGCAATAATTAGTTAGAAAGTATAAAAGCTTGCAAAAAAATTTTTGAGAAAAAATTTTGACCGTGTCTCACAACTACTATTATTAATATATAGATATTTAGATGATGATTAGGATATGATGATTAGGATAGATGATGATTAGGACATATACTCATTACTGTAACGTATCAAGATATATTAAGAAACAGTTCTTTGTTTTATTAAAAAAACGTTTATTTCACACCAAAACAAATACAATAAGAAATATAAAGTACCCGTAACGGGATAGTTAAGTCTTATAAAACAAAGTAGAAAAAGTGCCCGTAACGGGATATATGAAAACTCAAATTCCACAGCAAAAACTAATTTCTAAAAAATCAACAACTCTCTGTTGTTCTACCAAAAAGTCTTCTAATTTTATCGTTTGCTTTTATTTTATTGTTTATTTCTTTATGTGTTTATTTTATTTTATTCATGCTTTTGCTAGCCAATTATTCTTTAAATATTTTTAGACTTTTTACGGAGCCACAAATTAGTACTAAATAAAGGCATTTTATCTCTTTTTAGTTTTATCTGGCATTCAAATTGGTTTTAATGTCTTTTATCCCATATAGAGAAAACATTTCTAGTAAAATTACTGCCCTTTATAGCAATGACAGTTTTGGTAAAATTATCATAATTCTGGTTATTAAAACCAAAATTAAACCGCTCATTTGATAATTTTTCCCTTCATATGGTAACAGTTTGCCGGAAATTTCAGTTTTCAAAATTATAGTTTTTATTTTCTTATATTGAGTGAAAAATACAAAACTCAAAAGTAAATTTAACCAAATAAATGGTTTATTCATGCCACAATTGCTTAAAATTTTCATTGATAGTAAATAAATACTTTTGCAGATTGCCTATAACGTGTTGTCCATTGTCAGCAATTTACTAGCTATCAGTGATTCTCTTCTATGGACTGGAGATGTTAATGGCACTGTCACTAGAAGGTATGCAAGTGTATATATAATGCTATATAAGATGTTCAAATGTATTCAAGATGTTCAAAAATTAAGAAATTGGTCCAGTATCTCAAGAAATACAAATGTAATCAAAATAAAAAAGAACTGCAAGGAGATATTTCATAAGATGTATTTATTAACGCACTCCAAATGGTTCTCACAATGCACGATGTTGAGTTTGGAAGTGAAGATTGAGTTTTGTGTTATTAGAAAAGTTTTTTCTACATATCAAATGCATTTATTTTTATTGATTTTGATTTAACATGCATTTCTCTAGACATCTCCAATCGAAAAAAAAATTGTACTTAATTTTCAATTTGAGATCATAGCGCCATCTAATAACCGAAATGCCCAAACCTGTAAACAAAAGTGTGCTACGTTTCTATGGGAAAATCAAATCTGCATTTGAAATTTGGATCCCTATATCCCCATATAAGTTTTTGAAATTACAAGGGTGAGATGGTAGTTGATGTTGAGTGTCATTAATTGCATGATTTGAAAATATTTCGCTCATGCATTTTTAGCTTTCTCATTTATAAAATTTTCGAGCATCTTGAATAAACTGTTATGCTAGTTAAGCTGAATGTCTTTTATTTTTCTTCATTTCAAGAATTACTGACATTCTTTAAGTTTGTGTACGTCAATAACAGTCACATTCCTATAAGGCTGAAATTTCCCGGTCAAAAAAAAATTCTTGTAATGACAATTCTTGTTAAAAAAAAACATAATTCCGGTTAAAAAAAATTACGGTATTTAAACCAGTTATTTGGTGATTTTTTTAGTTTTTATGGTAATGGTTTACCGGAAATTCTTGTTTCAAAGATACAGAGTAAGTAAATTGTTTGTATGCCATTCTCTATGTCATCATGAAATTACTATATTTACTAAGTTTTATCTCATATTTCAAAATTATATTTGAATATCAATTTTATTACTATCATTTCCAAAGGCCGGGATAGTATGGTTGGTAGGGCGCTGGAACCATGTCCAAGAGTACGTGGGCTCGATCTTCGCCTGCCGAAGAATCCCCGTGTAGTAAACAGTGACTGATGCACGTAAAATCTGTCGAGTTGCAAAGTCCTCCATGTTCCCTTAACAAATCAATACCTCTTAGGGTACTGATCCAGGAATTTTCTTGTCTTCTGGATTGGTTCAAAATCACAAGGCTACGGAGTTAAACATTAGTAGTCGTAAACCCAAAATTGGGTCGGCTGTTCAACGACGGTTATAAAATAAAATAATTTTCAAAGCACTTCGGTAAAAATTGCCGATTTTTATGGTGTTCTAATAGAGTTAAAAATGAGGTAAGTTTGTCCATATTCTGATAGTTTTAACCATTATTTTTTCTCATTGTATATAAACTAATAATAAGTTAATTAACATGTTATTTAAACACAGTAAAAGTTAATTAAATAATAATACATGGTAATCGGGCTTTTACATTAGGCTATGTGATGGGACATTCTCCTTTCGCAAAGTTGTATCAGTTAATAACTGCTTAATTTATTTTTAAAAATTAAATTATGAAAACAAATATTTAGCTCTGGGGATGCAGTTAACACCTCCTAGTAGAGAGAAGGCCTCCGCACCGGTTACCACATACGAGAATTCGGATACTTAAGTCTGAACGTTGTGGAATCTTTGGTATTTTCCACACTGCTCAATTGAATAGCCTGAGGAGGTGTATATAGACAAGGTCTCTCTTTAAGAAGGTGTTTGTACAGTACACCTAGCATATGCGTAATGGAGAAAAATATTTTACAATATCAGTTCAAATATATAATTATGTTTCTTTTTTTTTCTAGAATAACAGATTTGGTTGACAAATATGCATCGGATGTTAGTTTGGAGAGAGGAGAGGAGTTACAAATTGAAACAGAGAATTTGGTTGTCAAGGTTGTGTCTTGGGATAGAGAAATAAATGGAGTTGGAAGCGATGACTTAACATTTATGGTACATTATCAAACTCGGCAGCAAAAAGAAAGCAGAAGCAAAGGAGGAAACAGATCATTACTGATTCCACCTTCTTTTTTGGATGATATAAGAGATGATGGGATGATTTCATTTAACAATGTGATTAAGTGATTATTTAGTATCATACTTTATTTATCTGACTTACTATGCTGCTTTTGGTTTGAGATGTAATTTGCCATTTGCTGCAGAATTTTTATAAAGAATATTTTTTATACTTTTTTTTTCATTATTTTGCATTAATTTAAGTCAAAATAAGAGAGAAATATTATAATTAGATTTTTAATAATTTATGGCTGTGAAATACAGCATGAAACACAAATATTCAAGCTCACTTTCAAGCAGTTTTTCAAATTTGCACTTATTTGCTGCTTTTTAGATCTAAGAGAAACAGTTATGAGTCATAGATTTTTTTTAAGTTACAAAATTCAGTCGTGGTTATTCAGGGAGCAGAGCGTTCACCTTCCAATGAGATGAACAGGGTTCGAATCACAGCCATGGCTGATCGATACAAGCTCCGCACCCGGCTCTCACCGACTACAGTGCTAACGTGAAACTATCCTCAGTGGTAGGCGGATCATGGGTTAGAGTCCCCTTGCCGTGAAACTAACCATGGAAGAATTCCGTGGTTTTCCTCACCTTGTAACACAAATTCGGGTTTGGTCCATCAAAAAATCCTCCAGAAAGGCAAATTTCTGTCAATACACTTGATCCAGTAGTTTCCTCATCTTCTGGATTGGGTGTGCAGATTCTACGTGTTTTAATTGTATAAGTAAAGTTTTGTAGTTTTTGCCGTTTAAGTTGAAATTGAGTGAAATAAGCTGAAGTATAATTTTTGAAAAAGAATTTTTACTAATTTCTAGAAAGGTTATCAAAAAAATGCAATTCTTTATTCTCGAATTAATTTATTTTCCTTTGAATTTCAAAGTTCGATAAGAAATGCTGATGCTTAATTTGTAAACGTATATCGTTTAGCAATTTGATCAATGTAATGTCATTGGAAAGAAAAATATTTTAATAAAATTTCTGATTTCAGTTTTATTACAATTTTACATAAATAATTTTATAAAAATAATCTTAATATTAAATAAATAATGAATTATTGTTTTGATACTAGCCCTTTACAGGTTTCAAAATAACATTACTAGTTTAAAAAAAAGTCTTAACTCTTGGAGCGCCTGTGACTTTTTCACGGGAACCTAGATATATGCCTTAATCATTTTCATTTCCTCAAAGAAACTGATGATGGGGGGGGGNGGGGGGGGGGGGGTACGCTGGATAGCCTGGTTGGCAGGGTGCTGGATTCATGTTTGTTAGAACAGGAGTTAGAACCCAGCCTGCCGAAGACCCATATCATGTAGTAAATGATAACTGGTGCACGTTAAATCTGTCGGATCGCAAAGTCCTCCATGCTCCCATAACAACCTCTGGGGTACTTCAATAGGAGATTGATCGTTCTCTGGTGCAGGTTAAAATTACGATCTGTGGATAAATGAATGGGTCCGCCCTATAAGCAATGGGTGCGACCAGAGACCAATCAATCGCACCAGTTGCCTTAATGGCCAACGAGAACAACAGATGATGGATATTTACTCTACTTGGTCATATCTTCTGATACATGCAAAATGCCTGACCACCCCCTAATAATAATTTCAGACATAAAGTCCGCTGTTATTTGGATTCTCTATTAATTTTTATGAAAAAATTATGCCAATATAATTCTGCAATCAACAATTTTAGATAGGAAGTTAAATAGTATACAGTTGCATTTTTTTAGATTTTCCATAAAAAATCTTTATTTTTATACAATTAGCGTTAAAAGAATTTCTGAGGGTCATCAAAATCTGTTTTCATCGGTTTAAACTGTTTTAAAATGAGATTTTAAAAAATCGAAGAACTGAAAAAAGTATAGTTTCAAATTATTTATTTAAAACCATAAAACGCCTAATTTCAATTGCTTTAAAGTTTTGAGGAAAAATCCATAGAAGTTCTTAAAATTATCAAGTGCTATTAGTCCTTATCTATCTTAAAGCACCCTCTTTATTTTCTACCTTTTCTTAAAGGTATTATGCTGCCTAATAATACAATATAATCAAAAGCTTGTTAAGTGTAAAAAATAAAAGAAAGCACAAATTTAAATTTTTACCTAAAATCTGATATGGTGAAGGTAGAGGCCCCCTCGTCAACTCGTTTGTAGTGTCAAATGAGTAAAGAGAACAAATACAAAACTGTACTTTCATACAAATAATTTTAAACTATTGAATTTATGAAGTTTGTTTTGATTTCATTTAATTTGGAGCAATAACAGAAAGAGACTGATATATAAGAATACCTGACTAACCTAGATAGAAATGACATAATCGTAAGTGCAGTCGTTCCCACTTAATTGCATATCGGATAATCGAATAAAAATAAGATAATCGCTTATACGAATAAAATTTAAAGGAACCAAATCGTTTTACACGAAACTAATGTTAAATTTTAAACGGATACTTGTTGCTTCTAGCCCCCGCTTAATTGCATAAAGAGGAAGTACTGAAAAAAAATGCTTATTTTAAAGAAATGTTTCACAAGTTAGAATGAAATTTCCATTTTTCAATTCCCACTGGATTGCCTAAAAAAGTCATTTGGCAGCTTTTTTATTTCAATTAGAAAACAATGATGCATATAATGACACAATTTCTTAGAGTTTGTGACTTTTTGTACAACATATAATTTTTTTATTGTAAATATTTACTAATAACTTGTTATATAACTGTAAATAGTATAAAAATATTAAAAATTAATTGCAAACAAATTTCTTTACACATTAGTTATTCTTCCACAATCCTGTCATTTTTACTACTTTTGGGCAATACTAAGTTTCAGTCTTTCTAGTGTTAAGGGGGACCCCACTCTAAGATGGTAAAATATTAGCGTTTTTCTAGAACTTTTTTTAAGTAATAGAGACAATGCAGAGACTCCTTGTTTTTTTATGTTATTAAGCTACTATTTAAGTCCGTTTTAAAATTTTTTCTTTTACAAAATAATAAAAAATAAGTTGGTGGCAGCTCCATGTGTGACTGGCCATCAAAAAGTAGCACCTCACTGGCCTCATGGATTCAGAAGTTCTGAAACGCAGGAAAATGGTTTTGTTTAGATTTTCTGAAACATAAAGACATTATCTAATAAGTAGCGTAGCGGTTTTTTGATATTCGCAAAATTACCAAAATGGCGGCAACTTTAAAAAAAAGTTAAGTTTTTCATTAAAAAAATATTCACTAAAATACTAATATAAAAATATCAAAGAAATCCTATGCTACTTTCTAAATAATATATTTTTACGTAATTTAAATTAAAGAACAGCTTAGTTCGTTGTATAGATCATGAGAAAAACGTTAGGTCAGGTCAAAAAGCAGCGTTTTGAGAAGAACGTGTTTAAAGTTTTGACTTATGTTCAATCTAGTAAATTATTAAATTATTAATGACTAACCTTTATTCTGCAATTCTAGGTCTATATATCTTCTCCGTCAGCAGAATAGATGAGACACAAAAAGAATGTCGCCCCTCCTAATCCGGCCGAACGGGTCTTTCTACCTGCTAAGCGACGACTCTTTATTTTCCGGTATAACTTCCAAACGAAGTTAGGTACCGAGAAATCGTTTTAGACAGACATTAGAAAGGGTACAAAGATTCGAAAAATGCAATAATTTTTTTTCTTCGAATTTTTGAAATATTCAGGGTGGGGTCTCCCCTTAAGAAAATAATACAACAGGTGGTTACTGTAATAGGGACTTCCTGTTCATTCGCAACTTTACAAGGTTATAAGGGGTATAGTGTAAGAATAAGTCTAATCTTGCTGGCAGTTATACATTGAAAGTAAATGAAGTAGATTTTACCCTTTTTTCACTTACTACTCTCACACATAATTCAGAATGTAAACAAAGGTACAGATTGATTTGTTTTGCGATCAAGACTTGAAGTCCCCTCCTAGTGTGCTATTAGTTTTGATAAGAAAAGATTTCAAAAACCTAACACTAAAGTACACAGTATCTTTCTCTTATGTAGAATAATCATTTCTTACTCCTGTGAACTTTAAATAGCATTCATATTTTCTGATGCTAACACAGACAGTGTGAATTACAATTGTTTATTGATCATAAAGTAGAGTTTATTTAATCAAAAAATTACACTATGCATTAAATACCGTTTAAAAGTAAAATTTCTGAAAAATGTACAATTTTTCAATAATGTATAATTTAAGATTGAATAAAGCACTCTCCTTTTAATCGAATAACCCGTTTAATTGAGTAGAGTTGGCTGGTACCAATTTTATTCCTTTAAGCGAGGTTGACTGTATAAGTAAAAAAATGTACTTTTTACGTACGAAACCTTAACATGGGAAGTATTTAATCACAAAGTTGCACATAAGCCTAAGAATAGTGATAAAATCATTATGGAAAAAATAAATGAAACAAATAAAGTTAGAAAGGAAAATATTGCAGTGATTAGAAAGGTTAGAAAATTAATTTAAATGAAATATATGGCATCTATAGAATTAATGGAATAAATAATCTTTTCCAAATTTTACAAATTAAACGCTTTAAGTTTTAAATCAAAAATTTTTCTCTTTAATGATGCGCCTCAACCTTAAATCGTAGGGGCTTATGAAATATTACACCAAATCAATTAGGAAGTATAATTCAAGTATTGATTTTATTCTTTACGTTAAAAAATTTTTGTTATTTTAAAGTCAGTAATGCACAATAAACTTCAGGAAATAATAAAACTATAAAACATTAAAAATCCTTTCTTCATTCTTTTAACTATTTCGTTTTATTAATTTTTTGAGTTATGCATATTCTCCTTCATGTATTGATTTCTTTTCCATTCAGTAACTATTATAATTCTTTAACTATAAGTCTAAGTCTTTGTAGTATCGCCATTCAAATTTTATGGAGGAACTTTTTGATGATTTTTGATTTCTGTTGTCGGAAACGCAATTAAATCACAATTTCCGAAACTTTACTGTAAGTGCATTATATTCCAATGTATAATATTAGTTATACAATGTGTAATGGAAATAACATCATTATACGCAATTAATTTCGCAATTAAAGAATTCACATGGGATTTTCGACATTGCAGAAAATTTTTATTACATATTATAGCTTACTCCTTTGTTATTTTATTTCATAACCGTCGTAGAACAGTAGACCTAATTATGGGTTTAAGACCATTAATATTCAAATCCGTATCCTTGTAATTTTGAACTCAATCCAGAAGACAATGGAACTCCTGGATGAAATAGTGGGAAAAATTTGCCTTCATTTAGGACTTTTTGATGGAGTTAATTTTTGCGTTACATGGAGAGGAAAACAACGAAAACCTCCCATGGACAGAATGATGGGCAGAGGACTCTAATCCATGTTCTGTGTACAACTGAGGATATTTTACGTCTGTACTCTGTGGTCGGTGTGAGCCGGAAGCAAAATTCGTATCGACCAGCCATCGCTGGGATTCGAATCCGGATCACCTCATTAGAAGGCAAACTGTCTATCCCCTGATCCACTTCGGTTTCTACTCTTTTGTCAGATAAATTATCAAATCATATTTTTAATGAACTCAAAGTGATGTTTAAACCGTTCCAGTAAAGAGGGCTAACAGCATATTACAATTTCAAACTATTTTTCCATTATAGGACGCTGAATTGTCTTTACCAGTTGAAGCCATACACCTACTTCAGAACCAAACTTATCAAGACGTAAGAATAAAGTTTGTGGCTTATAAAAATGATAAGTTTTTTCGTGAAAAGCCTAGTAAAAGATGGCAACAGTGTTATGACAGTAGCAAATTTAGCTCTCAACGCAAATGCCTATATATTGGAGCTACAGGATATCAAGGTACTTATCAAAATTTAGGGTAGACAATTATTATGAAATCGTTACTTATTTTTGTCTTCTAATTTAAAATAGGTCGTCAAGTTCTACAAGCAAGTTTGATGAATTTTGTAATAAATAATTTATCCACTCCAGTTGTATACATTCTGCCTTCTCCAACAAATGTTAAAGTCTTCTGCGCATATTGGGACGAGGATGGTAAGATTTGCTCAAAAATATATGATATGATATTTTTTATGCATTTTTATTTATGGTTGAAGCAAAATCACACCATAAATGGTATTCAGTTATTTATAATATGATAAGAAGAAAAAATGGAATAAAAAGAATGCAAATAATGATTTAAAACAATCCACTTGATTGAGAAAATAAAAGTATTTCCAAATAAACTTCTGTAAGGAAACTTCGGTAATGAACTGTAAAATTTCTGTTTTTATGTGAGACTTTGTGAGTTCAATTGAAATATTACGTTTATGAATTGTTGTAATAAATACATAATAATAAAATTCAGACCATTTAGCCAACACCTCCTAGAAAAGAGTAGGCCTCTGCACGGGTTACCATAAATATCCTTTAGTAGTCCAAACGTAATGACATATTTCGTATTTTCAATCACTGCGCAGCTTAGTACCCCGAACGTAATGACATCTTTCTTATTTTTCATCAACTGCGCAGTTAACTTCGTCGCGTCGGACTACTAATTTGATCCGTGCTGAGGCCTTCCTTATTCTAGGAGGTGTTGATTTAGCTATGCAACACATGAAAATCGAAACTGGTGGCCATTGCACACTTTCCCACTAAAAGTGCGGTACAAATTCAATCACATAACAAAACTAATCTTTCAAGCTTTATCCCTATAGTTATTTATGCAGAATTGCATTCATAAAAGTGTGTCAATCAGCTAAAACTAATTTTAAAATAATATATTGTACTTTATTGCTAGTAAAAAATAATAATATCCCAATGAAGAGAGCCTGATTGCATTCAAGTGCGCGCCAAGTGGATGCCAAGTATATCAACATCGCCAAATCTTTAAATGACGTTGTAGAGGCCTAACACACAACAATTACACCCGTTACACCCAACACTCAAGCAATTGTTAAAAATAAATATTTACGCTAGATAATTTTAAATAATTTGTCGCAAAATATTTCACTGTAATTAAAAAAAGGATTTGGTCAGAGAAATCTATTATAAATGCAATTATTTAAGAAAAAAATTCTAATTTAATTCTACTTTTAATCAATTTTATTTAAATATATTAACATTTATTTAAGATTCTTAAATATGAATTAAAATGCAATAATGAATTTTAAATAATATTAAAATAATAATTATGCAAAATAGTGCTAATCATATGTTAAACGAGAGAGAAAAAGGAACTGAGAACAAACTCTTAGGTTGAGTAGACATTCCCAAAAAAGTAATTAAATAATGTGATTTATTACAAATTTAAATAGAAAATTGTAAGCAATAACGAACAAGTAACAGTTATGAACAATAGTAATCAATTGGGTACTTTCACCTTAAGAAAAAGGTTACGGATCCCCACAAATGTGATTTAGGACGTCAGCCCCACGTGATCGTTTAAGAGCAAAATGACAAGTTAAAGTCCAGCTAGGTTTTTTCCGCATAAGTTCGAATGTTAACGTGAAGTTTCGCAACAAAAATAACAACATACATTATAATATATTGTTTTGCGTATTAGATATAATAAGCAATAACAAAAAGCAGTTTATTGTAAAAAGAGCATATGGATATTAGCAATTTTTGTAACATAAAGAGGCAGTAATAAAATATACTTTAGGTACAATGTGTAAAATATGTCAAATGTTTTTTAGTACATCCCATGTTTTGTTTTATATATTTTAATTCATTTTAAAGAGCACAAGTGGGCAACAGATGGTTTGATAACCAATCAGAGTGATAATTCAACAACATGTTTATCATTCCACCTGACATCTTTCTCTCTGTTGTTGGTAAGTTAAAAAAAAATTGATCATAACTTGTGTTTATTATCTTCATAAATAGATATATGTGTACTCTCAATAACAGAATATTTAGTTATACTGTATTTTGCAGCTTGATTTCTAAACTGCTAAACACAATGCTTTCAATATATAGCATTTATTTAGAATTTTATTCAATTAGGATTTTTTGTCGTTATTTAGTGACTTCATTATTAATATTTTTAATTCATACCTAAAAAACGCCTTTATTTTAATACATCAAGTAGTTGTTAAGCCAATAATAAAGGTTTTGTTCATTTTATTTATTTATATACTTTTTTTTTTTTGCCTAGGATCCCAGTCGGTTTGATGCTGCAAATCGCTATGCCTTTCTTCTTTCAATTATTATTTATATAGGATGTGGATTATCAATGCTGGGACTATTGTTAACAATTATAACATATTCTATATTTAGGTAATGTATATTGTATTGTTTAATAAAAATTATATATATGTTTATGATCAAGCTTTATAACGGTATATGTCAGTTATCCTCAGTTTTATTTAATTAGTTTATAAGACACTGGACCAAATAATTTAATTTTGACTCTCAAAACTAATGGGAAATTCTTCCCTTTAAAAAAATAGGAGGGGATATTTCTTACCTAAGTGATAGGGCGTTATAGGGATAGATGTCGACAGAACGACATTACATAATATTACTAATGAATTTTGCACACATTACATTAAGATGACAATATGCTACTAATATTTTTGTAGTCTGTTCGGTTCAGAGAATCAGTACGCGTGTTGATATTTTTCTTATAAACATCAAAATCAAAATGTTGGAAATGACAGTATAATTTCATCAATAGGGTAGATTTCATATTAACTGATATATAAAGTAGTAACCAAACTCAGTTAACCATTAAAATATAATTTTTACGCAAAATTATAAAATAAAGGTACTAAACATTCTGGCTGCAAATTCTTTTGGTATGTAATTAGGTTGATTAATTTGGCTATTTAATAAATACTAAGTACATTTATGTGAAATATTGAAGAACTATGCTTTTTTTAGTTTGAATTATAAGAAAAATGAGAAAAATTAATTGATTATAATAAGAATTGATTAATTGAATATAATAAGAAAAATATATTGAATAATTTTTCTTTCCAATTGGTTTTTAGTTTTTACTTATTTAATAATATGTAAAATGACTTATATATTAATGCCATTATTAAAATTTGACCGCTAATGTTAGCTGTTTAAAAATTTGTTTTACAACGGAAAAAATATTCTGGTAAGATTACCTTACTGTTTGTTAATGAAATTTCTGGTTTAAGAAAAAACTAATTCAGCTAGGTAAAAGTAAAATATAATGTATTTAGACCATTCATTTGGTAATTGTTCTGTATACGGTTTACCAAAAATTCTGGTTTCCAACTTATCTATATATATATTTCTCTTACATGGCACCAAAAAAAAGCCTCATTACAACTCCCCGAATGGCAACGTTAGAAAATCGACCAATAATTGCTGCTAAAAATGTCGCATGGCAAATGTCACATGTAAATTTGTAAAATGTAAATTTTTCTCCTTTTGTTTTTTACTTACAACTGTAAGTCTCATGCTATACTTTGTGGTGCATGAGGAGTTTTAAGTCGTTTAAATAAAAAAAAAAATAAAAAAAAATGTCACATGAGGTGGCTCAACATATAGCGCTTTTAAAAACGGAAACAATAACCAGAGTGAGCATTATCAGGTTGTTCAATTCAGATTCATGCCCTAAAAACATGATAATATTTAATTTAAACTCAATTAGGAATTAATTAGGCTGGCCTTCTCCATGACTATAAATAAGTCACAAGGTCAGACTTTTGAGAAAATCAGTTTAGTATTGACTAAACAAGTTTTTAGTCATGGACAACTTTATGTTGGCCTGTCAAGAGTTAAGTCATTTGACAGCCTTTCAGTAATTGCTCCAAGATGCCAAATCTATAATTGTGTTTTCAAAGAAATTCTAAATGCTTAGTGTTAATTTCTTAGAGCTTTGCAGAAAAAAATGTTTTTTGGAAAAAATTTAATTGAAACTTCTATTGGCAGTAGGCAAGGGGAACTGCCAAAATCAAAACTCCCCGATTAGAAATGCAGCATGGCGACCTCCACGTGGTATTTCTCGGGTAATGCTAACAGCCATGCATTTTAATTTATTGTATGTAAAACATCCTTATTTTGTTCTAAAATGTTATGTACTTTATCACAAATGTTAATTAATATAGAAATTGATTTCAATAATGCTGATCACCAAAAAATATTTCATTTGGCGATAAAACAAATTTTTGTGTTCTTGAAAATGAAAGACTTTTTGAGGGTTATTATCTCACAAGGAAAAGTTAGGGTTTAAAGTTTATATTTTTAAATAATAAAATTTTTTTCTAAAACTTTCAGAATTTCTAGCATTAACTAATTTATTATACACATTTAGTTGAATTTAGGAGAGCAACTGCAATATTTGATAATTTATTTTGCTAATATGTTTCTCATTTAGCTAATGTTTCGATTTTTTCACCATGCTATCTAAATAGCTAAATAGCTATACTTTTTAAAAAGCCAATAAGAACATTGATAGAATTCTTCGACATAAGTATAATACTATGTCTTTGATGATAAAATACTATGTCTTTGATGATAATATACTATGTCTTTGTGCTAGAACATTGTGTTCATTGGCGAGCGAGCGCAGCGAGCCATGGTTCACGGCGTGAACCACATAGGAATGCTTAGCAATTCTCGCGGGTTGGCGAGCATTAGCGAGCAGGGGGCGGAGCCTCCTAGTAGTTCTTATTACCCATACATGAAGCAAGAAATACAAAAGTGAAAAGTAAATTTAAATATCTATTTGGTTTTTAAACAATACTCTAAGGTGCCATGATAAAATTATGAAATTTTATCACAAATTGTAAAATCATATTTTATTGTTAATTTTACGAAAATTAATGTTAAAGCACTTCAGTGAAAACTATCGTTGGAAGCCAGAAACACGATAAATTTTACCAATACTTCTTTTTTGAAAAAGAACTTCCATTTCGTCAACTTGGAATGGAAGAAACCTATTTCGTCCGGGGTGGTTCTTTTTCTCCTGTGGGTGAAACTTTCCATTGCTGGTATAAAATATTAACTCATCATTTGAATTCATTTGTTTCAGATGCCTGAATCGTGAAAATCCAGGAAAGATATTGATACAACTTTGTATTTCGATGTTGATGTTGAATGTAGTGTTCGTATTAGGATCTCAGCGAGGATGGAACATATTTAGCATCGACATTTGTGCTGTGGTTGCTTTATTGATACACTATTTTCTCTTATCAACACTTACTTGGATATGCGTTGAAGCAATTAATATGCATCAACTTCTAGTTCACATATTCATATCTTCTGGATCCTGCTTCATGTTGAAAAGGACAGTTCTAGCATGGGGTATTTTGATTACTAGATTGATTCATTTAAATGTAGTTTTTTCAAGCTTTTTGCTCAATTTTACTTTGCTGTTTCCCTTTATTTATCATTGAATATTAAACTTAAGATTTGAAGGAATAACACTGGGTTACAATTTTTTATTGCCTTTATACAAATTGAGCAGCGATGGCTCAGGGGATAGAGCGTTCGCCTTCCAATGAGGCGAACCGGGTTCGAATTCCAGTCGATACGAATTCCGCATCCGGCTTGCACCGACCACAGTGTTGACGTGAAATATCCTGAATGGTGTAGGGCCCCTTGCCGTCAGGTTAACCGTGGGTGGTTCTCGTGGTCTTCCTCTCCGCGTAACGCAAATTCGGGTTAGCTCCATCAAAAAGAAATTTCTCCCAATACTCGATCCAGGAGTTCCCTTGTCTTCTGGATTGGGTTCAAAAGTACAAGGCTACGGAGTTGAACATTAGTAGTCGTAAACCCATAAAATTAGGTCGGCTGTTCAACGACGGTTTAATAAGAAAATAAAATACTTGATAATGCCTAATTCGGTTGTCGGTATTTCAAATCTGAAAATAGTTTTGCTCCAAAAGCTACGGATTTTTTTAAATGGCAGTTTTAGTCTATTTTTCGTCGAAAGTTTAAAAACATTATATATATACATAACAGGGTGTCGAGTAAATATTGCGACGAACTCTAGGGGAGTTAAAGTACATCTTCAGGATTAAAATTGAATAGGAACTCATAGCACAGTATTGTCGCCGTATGTGGCCAAGAGAGCTTTCTTATTATGACGATTTCAGAGGCACACGCAGGAATATCTCATAGTAGCGGAAGTGCCCCTAGAGGCGTATGATGACATTTCCGAGCATGGGGTTTAATGCGATTTCAATTTTAATGATGCGCTCTAACTTCCCTAGAAATTTGTCGCCACATTTATGCTACCCCATGTTATATATGTTTTTAAACTTGTATATTTTGTTTAAAAATCTTATTTTCCAAGAAAAAAAAACTGTAACTTGGAGGGAGAAACTGATTGAAGATTTGAAGCCAGCGATACGAAGGTATCTAAGAGCTGTTAAAGGTATCTAAGGTGGTATCTAATGCAACAAAAAGTTTAAAAAAAAGTCTAAATTAGTAATTAGCACAAAAACCACACAATGGCCTCTTCATGAATGTTTTTAATATCACACATTTTTTACAGGATGCATGTAGTATGTTTATTATTTGTTCTCATGTATTTATCATCCATTTATTTTATGGAAATACCAGTTTAATATAATAAAAAAAATTTTGCGAGTCACTTTGTATCCCGCTTCTGGGAGTGCGTAAAACTAAGATTTTGATATATTTTAGGTATACCTTTAATAATAGTTGGCGTCACCGTAGTGATGCACTGGGAAGTGTATAACTATCAGAATGAATAGTATGTATGCATTGTTTTTTTTTTCAAAATATTGTTTAAACATTTCATAAATAATAGTAATGAAATGATGATATTTAAAAGCATTCGGAAATAATTTTATACTTAAAATTGCACTTAAATAGCAATTTAAAGGCTTGGAGTAATCTAATGATAATCCAGATTCTTTTAAATTTGAAATTTATGACTCTGTCTATTCTTTAGTGTTGTTTCCAGATGGAGTGTTTTCGGAGTTTCGTGATAAAAACATGATAATGAGATAATTTTATTGCGGACAAGGAGATCTTGGTGTTTTGCCTCCAACACGTTCTTCTAAATATTTTGAAAATGTGGCTTATCATTATATTTTTTTAAGTCTCTCTGCACAAGGTATGCTTTCTTATGTGCACAAAATTATTTTTCTATGCTTTAAATGGAAAAATACAGAATATATATCTTTTTTTTTAAAGTCAATTATTGCTAATTAATTTTCGTAATGAAACCGTTAAATATTTTATTGGTCGAAAACAAAATTTATTTAGCACTTTGAAGCAAAATTTTAGTTAAACGCAATTTTCACAATTGTTTCATTATTTTTTTATTTATGTAGGTGAAAATAAGGAAAATTATATTTAGCTTTACATATTTATAGTTATCAAATAGAGCATGTGTCCTAAGCGCTCATAAAAAAATCTAGCCCTAGATGGCGCTGCTTGAGGGAAAAAATAATAGCTTTTTTCCGTCATAACTTATAAGTTAGTTGGAATTGAGATTAAAATGCGGCTTGCAGCAATAAACTGTTAATAATAATCTCACATGTAAATAAACGAAATTTATGTATGATATTTTATCATATTACCCATCTTTTTATATATTGCAGAATGGCAATAATAAATGCTTACTCATATTTAATGTGATTTCTATGTATTATCCTAGCTCTTTTTTGTTACTCCTTTTTTCGGATTTTATATTTTAATACAAATATAATTCCAACATATTTTTTAAAGTAACTATTACATTTTTTCATAATTAAAAAAATACCAAAATGTATTTTTGTTTGTAATTGGAGCGTCAGAAAAAAAATTATAAATGGGACACCGGTGTCCCATCTGCAATAATGGATTAAGATAACTAATCTGAAATTACGGAAATTCATTAATTATAAACTTCTAAATTATTTAATTAATTATAAAACAATTGAACTAATTATAAATTACTAAATTTAACTACATTAATAATAAACAAAATTACTAATTATTAGTTCTGTTAAACATGAATTAAATTTATGTTTTAGCTGCATTTTGTCTCCTACGAATCCTTATATCTATTACATCAGTTTCTTGGGTCCTATTTGCTTCATGATCTGCATCAATTTAATAATATTTCTGATGATCACCAGAGTATTGTTCAGTTCGCAAAATATAACTGTTAAGAAGCCAACTCAATGCGGTAAAAGTGATAAATTTCTTGTCACTACAGTTCAGATTAAAGGAGCTTTTATTGTCATGGTATGTTTTTAAATTTATTCTAAATTATTATTATTTAGTTTACAGTTATATTACAACATTTAAATTTTCTGAGTTTTCTGGAGAAATAAAACATGTTATTGATATTCTTTAAAGAATTAATAACTTATACAATCTCTGAAAACTTAGTTTAACGTTGACCCTTAATACTGGTACCTTGAACCGTAATACGGTGTGATTCTAACCCAACCTTTCATGCAATGTTAAATCAAATCATATCGTGGATGTTAAGTGTACGAAAATATGGTTCCTCTTAAAATCACACTTAGGTTGCGGCCTAAGATATTATGTTTCAACACACTCCAAAACCATTTTAACTATGTCAATTATTAATCTATATTTTCCTTTTGAATATTTAAATTTTTTTATCAAGTGCAAGAATAAAACTATTTTAGGTTAAATAAAATCATACAGTGATGCAGCAATTATCAAAAATACTGATAGCAAGAGGACAAAATCTTTTTATTTTAGAGCAGCCGCTTGCAATGGTTATTATCAACTGGTGTAATATTTTTTAAATTGCGGACAATTGGGGTTTGTCCCATTGGCCACAGAAATGCCAGAACTGCTACTCTCTACTCGTTACCCAGTGGGCACCAGTGGCGAAATCACGGCGGTGGAACAGCGTCGCCCACGTCACACAACCACAAACCCGTTTATAGGGCGGGTCACATTCACACAAAAGAGAAAGGACATAGAACACACAGAGAGAAAGAAACATCCATGCCCTGAGCAGGATTCGAACCTGCGGCCAAAGGCTCCGCAGTCAAGCACTCTAACCACTCGGCCCCCTGGTCGGCGTGGTGTAAACTATTATCACTCTTTTAGCAATTGTTATGTTTATATCCAAGGCCCAAATAACACTTTCGGACAAACTATTTGCAATATTTGCATTAAGTTCGGAACATGTATTTCTTGAAAACAAATTTTAAAATTTCAAGTTTAAATAAGCATTAATTGTAAGTATTCCAAGATTAGAGTGGTTAAAAGCACTAAGCTGCCATATTGAAGGACTGTGATTTGATCCTCAATGGCGGTTTCAAGTACACATAGCTTCAGATTGACATCACCAGCATATCTGGGAAGTAAAGGTGACTTGTGCGTAATGACATAATCATGTAATTTGTCACAACATCGTAAAAACGACCTCTTTGACCCCTATTAAGCACTGGGGGGAAAAGTAGGGTCAGAACAACCAGAATATGGCAAAATTTACCGTGCTTTTGGTTTTACAGGAATATCAAAATGCTTGGTTATTTTCATTGAAGGTATTTGGTAATCATTTCGGTAAAATTAACGATAAAATATGGCTTAGTAATGTGTGATAAAATTTGATAAATGCGGTAAAATTTAATAACTTTATCATGATATCTTAGAGCGGGGCATAAAGATCATTTATTCTGTTAAATTTACTTTTCAGTTTTGTATTTGCTCCTAAATGTGTGGCAATAAGAATAATAATTTAAAAAAATAGAACTGCTGGTGAAACAGTACCATTTGAGTAAAAAAATTAACAAATGAATGGTAAAAGTACCGTATATTATGATTTATAACCGTATATTGTGCGTTTTAATAAGAACTAAAATTTTGAAAACCAGAATTTCCGGTAAACTTTTATCATATGCACCAAATTATTAATAAGGGACTGATTTAAATCATATGGCGCAAACATCAAAATATCATATGGCGTAGAGAAATATTTAAAACGTAAAAACATTTAGCTTCTTTTAATTAATTACAGATTAAAAAAAAACGTATGTTTTTACATTTCATTCTATAATATTGATGTAAAATGACATTTTCTAGGTTCTTCTGGTTGTATCATGGATTTTCGGAGCTTTTGTTGATGGTGATACAAAATTATATTTCCAGTATGTGTTCTGCGTAGCAAATTCATTGCAGGGTCTGATAATATTTCTAGTCAGGTGTTTGCATTATTCCGAAGCAAGAGGTGCATGGTAAATATAAAAATTTTTTATTTCAAAATTCAAAGTATACTGAATCATTTCCTTCAAGCGTATGGTATTGAATATTATATGTGTAATTTAGCAAAACAAGTTCCATGCCAAATTTTAACCTATTTTGTCTTAACACGATGAAAGACAAAATGTGGTCCCCTTATTTTATAGGTATTTACTTAAAAACAGTTCGTAAGGAATACGATTAAGTGGCATTATAGCAGTATTCTATTTCTTCATTATGTCAAGTATATTATTAAGTTTAATCAATAATGACGAGTTTAAAATTAAACAGTTTGTTTTAAAAGATAGGCATTCAAAAATTCACAGGTTTCTAGATCATATAAACATATATTTCTATGAGTAGAATTTCGGGTCCAAAATATGGAGGTCTACTAAAGCGCTCAATATATCTGATTAGCGTACAAATTAAATTTTATACAAAAGCTTATGGCAAAATTCAAAACCAGCTTGGAGTTCTTGCGTATATTTTTTAAAACATTTGAAATTATTAATTAATTCTTAATTAATAAATATTTTAATGAATTAATAAGTTTTTAAAATTATTTATTATTAATTAATAAATATTTTATTAAATTAATACATTTTTAAAAATTATTAATTATTAATTAATAAATATTTCAAATTATTTATTATTAAGTAATAAATATTTTAATAAATTAATACATTTTTTAAATTATTAATTAATAAATATTTTAATAAATTAATACGTTTTTTAAATTATTAATTATTGATTAATTAATATTTCAAAATATAAATTAATTAATAAATATTTTAAGTTATTAATTAGTTTAACAGCAAAAGTTCGTAAATGTTGTTTTAAAAGTAAACGATTACGCAAAGATTTTATTTTCTAATTAATAATAAAATGATCACAACTGAAAATTACAAACTTGATTAAAACATTATATTTATCACACTCATATGACAGATATTATAATATAAACTATCATAAAATGGAATGCATTACTTATATTTTTAGCAAAATAATTCATTCAGTGTATCTTTTTATTGCAGGTATCAACTGATCAAAACTGGTACTTTTAAGAAATACCGAGGAGTTATTCCACCCGATACTTGGTCCGGTAATACTTGTTCTACTAGTCCTAATAAAATAAATGGCAGTTCCACAGCAACGCGTGTTGACAGCGCTGACATTACAAATCAGGGTGCTTTCTGGAGCGGAGAGGGACCTATTACTTCAGGACCAACCACAGTTGCGAGGGACACTAGTTGCATCTCTGGCTACAGTAATCCAACACTGACGATGCCATCAGACAGAGCATCTGATTATGCTACGATTCACAGGGGATCAGTACATCTGTTGAATTTTAGTAACAGCGGAATTACTTTAGAGCCAATTGACGTCGGAGGTGATGAAACTATCAGAAATCTGAGCAGGTAGGTAAAATAGCTGAGGAAAAATCCCTTTTGAATATAAATTTGCTGGTGAAAAATAGGCTAATATAGGCTAATTTTCGTACTAGTTTAATTCTAATGCAGTTAATATTAATTTTGAGATTACAATGAGGTTAACCACAAAAAAAAAATCCGGCTCTGACAGATGGTGATTTATAACGCAACAATTGGCTGATAATGTGAAGTGCCTCTTTGTTTGTGTTTGCATCTACAATTCCTAAAATGGGCCAAAAAAAATAGTAAGAATAGTGAAGAAACTGTTTTATTCTTAACTTTACACTCTATTTGCATATTACCTATAAACTGATTAAAGCGAGAAAACAAAAATCTTGGCTTGAATAGGATTTCTTTATGTTATCTTTATGATCGAACCACAGAGAAGTATTTAAAGATTTTTCAGTTTATTGTTAGACATTGTAAAAAATTCAGGCATTTCTTTTTCAGAAACCATGACAAAATTGCAATCTTGCCTGACCTAACGTAAACAATAATCCGCTGCTGTAATACACTAAACAGCTTGATGGATTTCTCTTATTTTTCACTAAATCGATGAAACCATTTTAATCCTTTAGTTCCCTTTCTTTAAAAATCTATAAAACGCGTTTGAATGTTTTTTTTTCTTTTCAGCATGCGAGTGTAAATAAAAACAAAGTAGATTTTTTTCTGATTATTTAGTTTAAATATTTAAAATTCTCTTTATGTTTTGTTCGTAAATTTATTTCTATGTTGAATATGAAACAGTGTTGTTGACTGTTAAACTGTGTTGAGCATATACTAGTAAACTCTTTGATCTCCTGCTCTTAGGTACTACTTTTTAATTCAATTTAAAATTTCTTATTTAACTAACTAGAGTGGACCAGATTGACAGCAACTAAGGCAAAAAGAAACTTTAAAAATTGTATTGCAATGACGTAACAAGGGAAAGTTCTTAAAAATTTGTACATGCGTAGAACTTATATCCGAAGTTGATAATTCATAAAATAATTCATAACATTTCATAAAATAAAAATGTAAAAAATGAACCATCATAATGGATGTGCAACTATTAATTTTCATGACCGTAGAAAGGTAGAGCTTTAAAAAATGGAGATAAATGGTTAACCGTGGTTGAGTAATGTGGAAGTATTGTTCATTCAGTATAAGTATTATAAAGCGGAAACGGAAAGAAGAAGAATTTGCCATATATGCAATACATACACGTTGGCATTATGGTATCTTATACATATATACACGTCGGCATTAGTTCTAATAAATTAAATATTATATATGTGCTTAACATTCTAATTTTATTTTCAATTTTTGCAGATCTAACTCTGGATTTGTAAAAGATAACGAAAACACTGCAAGTAATTACTCCGGTGCAGAAACACTAAGAAGTAATTACTATTTTGATAAAAATCCTGAAAGAAACAATCATCAAGGTGACATAAATCCAGATAAGACAGCTGTTCAAAGGAAAGACAGAAAAATGAGCTTCTTAGCGAGAGAGAAGGCACCCGAAAATTCGGATGATTTCTGTCGGGACATGAATGAAGAGAAAAACGCGACAGACAGACTAACAGCAACAACCTTGGATCGAAAGATTTATGCTTCCAGAGCGTCGAGTTTATTTGGAAACTTCAGGTCAGATTCACAACCAGATTTGGGCAAACAAAACTCGTGGCCTAGAACTTTGAGTTCTTTTTCAGGAGAAAGAGATTTCATGGAAATTACGTCTCAAGCAAAGAGTGATTTCCCAAACCCTACCGAAAACGACGTAATCACCAAGGATAATCATTCATACAAGTTATTACCACTTAATGTTCAACAAACGCATCCTTCATTCTTGCATTCATATTTTACTTTAAGGAGGGGCAGTAATTTCTCTCAAATGAGTCCAAGACTTCATTCACCGTTTAATGAGACCAACTCTCTGCCAGGCAGAGCTGCCAGTCATCTGGCGCACCCTAACTTCGATGCTTCCAATCGAATTTTGGCAAACATTTATCCAGATTCAATGCCCCAACATTCATCAAAAGGTTGGGAAAATGTTCCATTAGAAAATGACTATGGGTTTGAAGTTGTGGGTAATGAAGTGTCCATATCTGGTCCAACAACGCGAGTGTATGTATCCCAGACTCCGTTGGTTAAACAGCATGTGGCAACACAAAGTGACCTTTTGGAAGACATAGATTCCTTCAAAATCTATGAAAGCCAAAATGGAGAGTCACCGTCACAATCATTATTCGAAGAAACAGTTGCTTCCAAATTATGATCTGTACATGATTAATAATGTTTAGTCATTGCATAGTATTTACAGTTTATTACGACAATGAGATTTGCTTATGGTATTTATACATCTGTGATAACGGATAAGATTAGATGGGTGGTTTAAACCGTGGACGTCAAACACGAGTAAAAATATTCACACAAAAAATTGGAAAATGTATTCATTTAGGAAATGAGCATGGGTTTAAAGTAACAGGGTGAGGTAGCTATATCTGGTTCAGCAACAGACTTGTTCCTGGTTACCGGTTTACCAACGAACATGTGGAAGCAAAGTGACATCTTAAAAAGCATAGAGACATTCAACATTTATGAAAAAAGACAGTTCCTTACTATGCAAAGAAACAGTTCCTCCAGAATTAATGTGCTTACAAAAGAATAACTAGTTGATGTTTTCTCATTGTATAAACTTCTTTTTACACATCATGACAATGATATTTAACTTTTGGTATTGATTTATCTGTGATAATGGACTGGATAAGTTAAGTGTTTTAGACAACTGAAGAAAAAATATGAGTATTTGTTCAATTATGTTTAAATTAGTTTTCTTGTTTATATTTTATATAGTTTTATCGATGATTTTAAAATATTGTAAAAAAATTTTTGAAATAAACTTAAAGATACTCATTCCTTTGCTGTGATTTCAATTATAATATTACTGCTATTGCACTGTACAGCATGAAAGGTTTTTTTCAGGTTAAAATGTGTTTTTATTGATATTGTTTTCGCTGAAAATAACGGATATGCAATTTCTTTTGCTAACTATGCACCATGTACCTAAAAATCAAAATTCTAGCTTTTCAATTTTACGCCTCTTAACAGGGCATCATTATAACCTGCATGAAAAAGGTAGGCACCCTCATCGACAATGGAACTATATGATCAATTGTGATATCAGTTTAGCAATATTGGCGACTTAAGGGGTGGAATTCTCGGCGACTAAAGTAATCACCATTAAAGAACTTTATTTCAGTCTTAAAGTTTTTTTGTTAATCATGATTTAGGGTTTGGGTACAGTAGACCTCTGGTCGATGTGCCCTGCTCTTTGGAGCTGCCCAACCTCTAATTCTAAATCTAACCACCATTAGAACTTTTCGTTCTGCTTATAAGAACTCTTATAAACATTTTAGCATTTTTGATTCCATCAATTTATTTGATAGGCAACCAACCAAGAAAAGAAAAACTAAACTAAATTTTATAAGCAATCATGATTGAATTAAGTCCAGCAGCAGAACTGTTGCCCACTAACGAAGTCATTTTTATTTTAATACAACCATTTTAATTACAACTATACGATACTAAATCTAGCATTAAGATTAAAATCCATGTATTCGGTTTGCGGTTATCATATTTTTAGAGTTACATCGCTTGGTAGATAAAAATTCAAATATGAACTATGAATTTTATTTTTTTAAATTATTAAATCTCTAAAAAAACCAAATTTTAAGTGAAACTGAAATATTTTTTAAGAAAATAACTCAAAAATGTTAAATTTACTATCAAAACGTTTTATTTCAAAGATACCATAGGAAAATATTTTTGATAAAACTGTTTCTAAGATAATAAAAAAAAATTTCCGTGGCTTGTAAATATACTTACAAAAGAATACAAAATTTTTTATTGATAGTTGACAGAAATCTTAGAATCAATTATAGTTATTGAATGATAACTTATTAGTTTATCGTTGTTAAGCATCAATTTATAAATTATTCTTTTTGGAAATATCAACTTATTTAATAACATTCATTTAATTAATTATCTTAGTGTTATTAAACATAAACATTATTACCTTATTAAATATCAATTTACTACTTTATCGTTTTTTATTCATTTAGTTTTCTAACTTTTACCGTTTGTTTATTCAATTAATTTTCATTTTTTTTCACTTTGTGTTTTTCATCAAATAGCTCCTTTAATCGTAAGACTTTACATTCTTTTTATTCACTTCATTCGTCTGTTCATTCGCTTATTTTCAATTTTTTCTTTTTTCATTTAGCTGTTTCTAACAAATAGTTCTTTTAATCGTAAGACTTTGCTTTCAATTATTTTCGAACATTTGAATTCGTTCATTTTAAATTTTGTTCCGCTTAGTAGTTTTCAACAAATAGTTCTTTAAATCTTTAGACTTTACTATCAGGCATAGAGTTTGTTAGGTTTGAATTTATCCCTTAAGCAAAAAAAAGAAGAAAACAAAATATTAAAACAACATATTTTATCAATGAAATAAAGATAAATACAAAAAAAAAATCGCTTTTCCTTTTCAAAATAAATAAATAAATGCATACTGAAACGGAGATTTCTATCAGCCTTGAGATAGATCCAACAAAATCACAGAGTCACTCACTGGCGACAACAAAGATAGCGTGATATTAGGTAATCCATGAAGTCTTTGGCATCAAAAAATGAAGCCAAATTCTTTTTTCTCAATCTTGGGTGGTTACTTTCTGAATACGATAACAAATGTATGAAGCTGGATCATCCTATTTTTATAACTTAACGCAGATAAGAGAGGCTACTCAAATATTCTTTTACAGTCATAAAACGTAATTATTTTTATCTATTTGTGTTAGTTTTAAAGATAAAATAAACATTCTTTTAATCTGTTAAAATAATGGTTTACCCAGTAGACAGAAGCGATAAAAGAAAATTAATTGACTGTCGCAAAGTCATTTACTTGTTTGAACAAGACCGGTAGAGCCTGGTTGGCAGGGAGCTGGGTCGCAAAGTCCTCCATGTTCTCATAACAAATCAATACCTCTGGGAATACTGAATTGGAGATTGATCGTTCTCCGGTATAGGTCAAAATTACGATCCGTGGATGAATGGATGTATGAATGGGTTCGCCTTATAAATGAGTGCGACGTATGGATGAGGCAATATTCGAAATCTTGGCTATAGATGGCGCCACTGGAAAATAAGAACAACCACACCCCGTCTGCCTTAATGGACCCCGATAACAACAACAGTAATAAAATTTTAAAAAAATGAAAGTTTAATTATTTTGAAAACAATGAATTGTAAAGAAATGTTCGGAAAAGATAGGAGAATCTAATGGAAGTAATTAGTCGGAAGTCTCATGTAAAATTACAACCCATATAGTAATATAAGGTTGATTTTAATGTCAGTAATAACCTTCATCAACAAGGTTTATAAATGGTTAACAAATAAACCATGCAAGCTTGAAACAAAGTTAAATTTAACTTTGTTTCAAGCTTGCAGGAGAAAAAATCAATACAAGAAATAAAAAACTACCATTTTAACTACCACAACAGATATGTATTTTCGGAATTTCTTTAAAAAATGTACAATCCATGATTAAATTATTTTGTATAAGAAAAATATTTTTTCAACTAAAGTTACTGTTTGCTAATTAATTCTGCATGCTTCAAATATGCTAATTAATTAGTGCAGACGATATTTTAAGTTAAGAAATCGAACAAAAAAATGATTTTTTTCTAAATAAACAAATGTATCAAAAGAAGAATCGAATTTCTGAGAAATCAAATTTTAATAAAGTTAAATACTTAAAATTCCTTTTCCTCAGGTACTATTCAACTGATTTCGCTAAAATTTTATTTCTTACCTTATAAAATTACACTCTTCAAAAAGATTTAAACATTTCAATATCTTACAATTCAAAGGTTTTTTGATTATTTTTAAGTAAAATAAAATAAATTCTTTTAAACATTTTTTGTATGGACTTAACTTTAGATAAGCGAATTTAATAATTTTAAGCGAAAAAAAAAAACTTAGTACCGCTCTCCTACCACACTATTGGGACCACATTTCTCAGATTGTGGTTAAGCCAATATTTTGGGGGTCAAAAATCAAAATCCGTCAAAAAAAGTATGTCCATTCAGAAAAAATACGTCTTTGTATCTGATTTTGTAACTTAACCATTGTAATTTGTAACTTATTGTATTTTGTAACTTAACCACCACTTCGAACCATTAAGATTGAGTCCTCTACATAGTTAAAATTCAATCATTAGATCAAAGATTATTCAGGGTGAAAAAACACTAAATGTTACACTAAAGTATATAGACGATACGTATAGCTCGCAAAAAAATGCACTATCTTATAAGAATTTTTAAGCCTACATATTTTATAATGACTGACTTTTTCTTAAACTTTCATGACTCTTTAATATCTTTCCTTATTTTTAATTTGCAGCTATTAATTTTTGAATCTTATTTTTTTCCTGCAGTTTATGTTGCTGTATTAATAAATTGAAGCTAAATTATTTAGCCAGAAAAAATAATTTAATTTAAATAGTATCGTAAAAATTTATTGTGCATTTTTCTGGGTGACAAAGAGAAATAACATGACAACATGAACAACACCAGAAATTCTTCCTTTTTTTCGGAAAAATGAATTGCACCTTTTCTATTTTCCACAGTTAAATTCTTTTCTGCCAAAAAAATCTTTTTCTCAGCAAAGTTATCGTCATTCTGTTCAGGGCACTAATGATTTGGAAAGCTTCTGTACTTGACTGTATTGGATGAAATACTTCATATACTTATTTTTACCAAAACAATAAATGATAGCCTTCAATTCAATCGCAAAGCTAAGAGAAACTGAGCTATTTGCAATTATTTTATTATTATTCTGCTACAATTTCAATAATATTTGGAAAATTGAGTACTTAGTAAACATTTTTTGATTAATAAAACTTTTTTACTACTTTCTCATGTTGTTTCGGAAGTTCTTATGTTATTTTAAAATAAGAGATATTGGTCTTTCTTTTCAGCGTTTCATTTTCTTTAAGAGAATATTTTTGTATTTACGAAAGTAATTAGATGTAAGTATGATAAGAAAATTTTAGTTTTCAAACACGAATTATTTTCCCTATTTATGCACTAAAAGTGCTATCCCCATTATTTGCATTTTTCAGAATATGGCATAATTTTCTTATGAAAATGCAGATAATAGTAAATACACTTTTGATGCAGAAAGTAGAATTTTTTTTTTGAGAATATAATTTACGTATCATGTTTCAATTTGAACCAAGTTTCCTAAAAAATTAAAAAAAGGCGAGAAAAAGATAAAAAGAAGAAAAAAAAATTACGAATATTTTCCAATCTGAAATAGCAGGAGAAATTCTTTTTCCCTCAAAATTCATTGTTTTATTCTGTTTTTTCTTTTTATTTTATTTTATTCTGTTTTTTTCTTTTTATTTTATTTTATTTTCTGCTTTTACGTGTTATTTTTACTTATTGTGTTCTATTTTATTTGTTGTAATTTTTGTAAAAAATTTTTTTGAGTGCTCCTTACACTATTGTATTAATNACCAGTCTCATTTACGTAAAACAATAAAGCTGTATATATATATATATATATATATATATAAAGAACAGAAAATAAAATAAAATAAAAAGAAAAAAACAGAATAAAATAAAAGAGAAAGAAAAAACAGAATAAAACAAAATCTATAAAGCGAGTAGCGAATTCAAATGTACTTACATGAACGGGAAATTTTTCAAGAATGATTTAAAAAATAATTTCGTAGCA